TTCATTGAGAGCTGCTTGAGGAATAAACATGAGATGGTGGTTTATGAAGCGGCCTCTGCCATCGTCCACATGCCCAAATGTACCGCCCGTGAGCTGGCTCCTGCTGTGTCTGGTTAGTCTTTCTTCTTTGCTTTCTAACCAGCAGACACAACAGAGTACACTAGATTAATTTGGTCTTTCTTTCTTTCTCTTTCCATAGTTCTCCAGCTGTTTTGCAGCTCTCCCAAAGCAGCTCTGCGATATGCAGCTGTACGGACCCTTAATAAGGTTGGTTTGAATAGGATTTAGTTTGTAACTAGTTGCAGTATCTATCAACTACCACATGGAGACACCAAAGAACACATTTTTATGTTCAAAGGCATGGTTTTATCACACAAATAGTGCAAAAACTACATCCTAAATAGGATGAAACATTTGAATTCTGAATTTTGGCATGAAAAAGAGTTGATATGACCACTTTGGGAAAAAAATACACAGGTGGCAATGAAGCACCCGTCAGCAGTGACCGCATGCAACCTGGACCTGGAGAACCTGATCACTGACTCCAACCGCAGCATCGCCACCCTGGCCATCACCACCCTGCTGAAGACCGGCAGCGAGAGCAGCGTCGACCGCCTCATGAAGCAGATCTCCTCCTTCGTCTCTGAGATCTCGGACGAGTTCAAGGTGTGACTTCATGACCCAGACAGTGAATTTCAAGAAAATTAGAGAACAAACACATGCTTCAGATGCATATTCAATCATGTTTCAGGAGTTATGTACATATATTATATTTTTTAAATGATCGGTCCAGTGGTAATGTTCTTGTAAACAATGTGTTTTCATAACCAAATGGCATGTTTGTTTTCCAGGTGGTTGTGGTCCAGGCCATCAGTGCTCTGTGCCAGAAGTATCCCAGAAAGCACAGTGTGATGATGAACTTCCTTTCAAACATGTTGAGAGATGATGTAAGCTCATCCAAGGACGTGTGTTCTTCTGTTATTACACTGGAGTCTTGTAATCTCTTTTCTTGTGCCAAACCACATGACCAGATTTACACTTGATATCCTTAATACCTGGTTTACTTCTGATCTGTATTTTAATTATTATTGCCAAAAAAAGCTGAAAAACATTTACTTTTTCTATTAGACAGGTTTCTTTTTTTTTTTCTTTTGCAGGGTGGATTTGAGTACAAGAGAGCCATCGTGGATTGTATCATTAGTATCATAGAGGAAAACCCAGAGAGTAAGGAGACAGGCTTGGCTCACTTATGTGAGTTTATTGAGGATTGTGAGCACACCGTACTGGCCACTAAGATCCTCCACATGCTGGGGAAAGAGGGGCCACGTACCCCTACTCCCTCCAAATACATCCGTTTCATCTTCAACCGTGTGGTGCTGGAGAGCGAGGCAGTGCGGGCAGGTGAGTGATCTTGTGTGACCTTTGACCCATGTGTTAACCTCCTTGCAATGAGCTTTTAAAGACCTGCTCGTGCCACCTTAAGATTTTAGGAAGCTTGTGTTTGTAAAATCCTTTGGTACAGGTTTTTTGTTTGAGCGCCACACACGTGTCCCAGTAATTAACTGCAGTCAGACTGCAAGTAGTAGTAATTTTAAGCAGGGCTGATAATCTGATTCCAGAGACTAAGCTGAACAGCTTTAGGACATTTAAGCATTCTTCTGCTCTGACTCTCCTCTCACGTTTTTCTTCAAAGCTGCTGTAAGTGCACTGGCTAAGTTTGGGGCTCAAAACGACGACCTGCTGCCAAGCGTCTTAGTTCTGATGCAGAGGTAGGCCTTCAATGGCAGGAAGTGTGTGTGTGGAGGGAGTGAGTGTTTATACTGGTAATTTGAGTATTAGAGTAAGGAAATGAACAAAGATGTGTTTGGAAATCAATGCAAATGTTTGTTTAAAAAATATATATATATATTTATTTGACTGGATTAAAAACTATGCAAAACTGAAAATAGTATTTTTTTTTTTTTCAATAAAAGAGAAAAGTTTCATTTATTTGAATGGATTTGGAAAAATAGATACAAAGCAGAAAATAAAAGTTTTTTTTTTTTGTTCAAAAGAGAAACTCAACTACTTGATAAAAAAAAAAATCCAAAACTGAAAATTGTGTGAGAATAATACTAAAAAGAGAAAATCCTCATTTATTTGATTGGATTAAAAACAGTGATGCAAAGCAGAGAATAAAACAATATTTTACCTAAAAAGTGAAAATCCTTGTTTATTTAAATGGATTAAAATGGTTTCACATGGAAAAATAAAGTAGTATATATTTAAAACATTTCTGTATTTTAACCACTTTTACTCAAAATTGTTTAATCTACCAGAATGTAAGAATATTGTCATGTTAATGTTGCTTATTGCCCATGTCTAGAGAGAAATGTTTTAATTTGCTAATTTACTGTGTGTGTCTTACAGGTGTATGATGGACAGCGACGATGAGGTCAGGGACAGAGCCACATTCTACATGAACGTCCTTCAGCAGAAGCAGAAGGCCTTGAATGCTGCTTACATCTTCAATGGTGAAGGGTTGCAGTTGTTCTGGATATTTAAGATTCTTAATGTGTATCTGATATTGTATTTGGTTTGATTTAGCTGATGTGAGTGAACAAGGGTTGTTGAATGGTTTGAATGCAGGTCTGTCCGTATCTGTCCCTGGACTGGAGAAATCCCTCCACCAGTACACACTGGAGCCCTCTGAGAAACCGTTCGACATGAAGACAGTTCCCTTGGCCACTGCACCCATCACCGAACAGAAAACAGGTGTGAACCTGAGCTTCAGCAGCCCACACTGCTTATGATCCTGAGGCCAATAACTTCATTACTCATCATAATCCATTGCAGAATATTTTCATAATTATGTATGCTCAAAAAAACTTTTTGTTTACATTCTACCATTGTTTGGCCTCTAATTTGGATGCTAATCATCTTATGCCTTTAACCTGGGGTTTTAGGGTAAATCGCAGAGCTTACTCAAAACTGCTCAAATTGCATAAGTTCACTTCATTTTTCTCTTTCATGCCAGAAATCGCACCCATGGCAACAAGCAAACTACCTGAAAAGCTTGCACCTTCCCGCCAAGACATTTACCAAGGTAAGAAGATTAGCTAATTAGCAAAACAATGCATGTGGCATCATTACACCTGTCTGAAGCAAACTGTGCCACATTTCAACTGGTCCCCTTATTTTTCTCCCTCAGAACAACTTGCAGCCATCCCAGAATTCCAGGGCCTGGGTCCCCTGTTCAAGTCGTCTGAGCCGGTTCAGTTAACAGAAGCAGAGACGGAGTATGTGGTGCGCTGTATCAAACACACTTTCGCAAATCACATGATCTTCCAGTTCGACTGCACCAACACGCTGAACGACCAGCTGCTGCAGCGAGTTCTGGTCCAGATGGAGCCGTCAGAGTCGTACGAGGTGCTACATTATGTACCTGCACCAAGTCTCCCCTACAGCCAGCCCAGCTCCTGCTACAGTCTGGTCCGGTTACCAGAGGATGACCCCACAGCAGGTCAGACATGATTGATTCGCAGTAAGATGTCAACTATTCTTGCTTGGGCAGATTTGATGTTAAGTTTCCCTTAATGATTTTTCTGTTTTGTTGTTTGCATTTGTCTTAGTCTCTTGCACGTTCAGCTGTACAATGAAATATCTGGTCCGGGACTGTGATCCCAACACGGGAGAGCCTGATGATGACGGTTACAACGATGAATATGTGGTATGTGAATTTTCAAAATCAGTCCACACTGATGAAAATGGGAAGATTATCAGTGGCCATTCCTCACTCAATGTCTTGTTTCCCTCTCAGCTGGAAGATTTAGAGGTGACAGTCGCTGACCACATACAGAAGGTGTTGAAACCAAACTTTGGTGCAGCGTGGGAGGAGATCGGAGATGAGTTTGAGAAGGAAGAGACATTTGCTTTGGCCACAGTCAGAACTTTAGATGGTAAGATTGCTAAAAGGAATAGTTAACCTCAAAATGAAAATTTGCTGAAAAATTTACTCGCCCTCGTTTTTTTTCATTGGAAATTTAGCATTGCATCACTTGCTCACCAATGGATCCTCTGCAGTGAATGGCTGCCGTCAGAATGAAAGTTTAAACAGCTGATAAAAACATTGCAATAATCCACACGACTCCAGTCCATCAATTAACATCTTAAGTTAAAAGCTTCATGTTTGTAAGAAGAGTTTTGTGGCTGGAGATAACAGAATGTGAAATGATCATCTCTTTATTGTGTTTGTCTTCACAGAGGCAGTAAATAACATTATCAGCTTCTTGGGCATGCAGCCTTGCGAGCGCTCAGACAAAGTTCCTGAAAACAAGAACTCGCATGTTCTGTTCCTAGCAGGTATGTACTGACTTCATCACTCCAGTTTTTCAGTTTTGAGAGAATTTTAGTTCCTGTATTTAGTGTTTTTAGTGTATTTAGTATTAATTTTCTAACATGAGCAATGAGGTTAATGATCTTGTCTTTCTGAAGGTGTGTTTAGGGGAGGTCATGATGTATTGGTGAGGGCGCGTCTGGCTCTGGCTGATGGGGTTACTATGCAGGTGACTGTTAGGAGCACAGACGAGAACGTGGTCGACGTCATCCTGGCCTCTGTTGGCTAAACAAGTAATGTTTGAGTGACCTGGTCACATGCCAATCAATCTGGGTCATTGTGCTTTTATATGTATCTATATAGTAGCTCTATAACGTTTCTCACAACCAACTTTGTGGCTTGATATGAATCCTCGGAATCATCCTGTTTCTGTATTTGGTCTGTTCTGTTTCTGAGAGATGTCTAAAATACTGTGCCACTTTATTTCATGTGGAAGAGATCTAAACATTGTTTCTCTGGTATTTGAGCTGTTTTGACGTTGTGTCACGGCTCAGGGGGGAAAAGTCCTTTACTACAAACCTTTTCATTTATCAATAATAAAACAGAAAGAGTACAAAACTTGTGTTGTATTGTTTTTTTCAACACAAAACCTGAGACAATTCATACAAAGACCTTTTTAATTGAATAAAAGCATTCATGCATTGAACACAAATGTATTTACAAGTAATGGCATTGTATTTGAGCAAACTCTGTTGTAATGACTGTTTGGGTATTTGGTGCAATACTTTCGGTTTCATGCATTTAAACCCATGACTGACATTTCACACTGCGGTTTGTTAAATGGATTTGAATATTTTCTAACAACTTATTTGAGGCAATATTCCACTCCATTACTTATCTCAGAATGAGTTGATAAAGCTAAGGTAGGCATTAAAGAAGCCTGTGGGATCCTCCAGCTGTGGATAATGACTCACATGCTCATCTAGAACCGATACAGTGGATCTCTGCACTAGTTTCCTGTAAGTAAGGAACAAAGAGAAAAGTGGTTATAAAAGATTTCTAATGTTATAATATCTACAGGGATAGCTTGTTCTGTCTTTGCGCTGTCACAGCTTAGCTGTTTCATCTTTGTTTATAGGATTTGTTTCAACTTGAAACCACTGGTTTTACTTATAATAAAACCATGCAGAGACACAGATAGTGCAACACTACTCCTAAAGCCCGGGACACTACATAATTTTCTGCTGTCCCACACGAAAGACTGGCATCGTGAAACAATCATGGCGATTTCTATGATCGTGGCTCCTAAACGGTGGTCCTATGTCGTACAGAGAGAGGTTCAAAGACGGCCGTTTTCACGGTCTTGTGACCAAAGATAGCCTACGATCATTTTCTGACAGTGTCAGAAATCCAGCATGATCATCGCACAGTGTGTTTGCTGCAGCTAATAAAAAAGCGACATAAAATCAAAGCGACACGGCGCTAAAACATAAAACTGCTTACCTCAAGCTCTTATCCCTTCCTCTTTCGCCGCTTCTACTTTTTTCAGCACACATAAAAACTACAACCGCCAAACATCATGCTCATCAGATTCATCATGCTACTTTTGTTTGTGTGTGTTCATGATGGTGATTTTTGTGACATTGTTCCGCCATTAGATGGCGACAAGAAAGACAGTCAGTAGTAAAGACCTTTATATTGAAAGAGACTGAAACAGAAGTTATTTTTACTTTTAATAACAGCTTGTAAGACGCAGTTAACAAACACACTGAGCATCGGAAATCACCCTTAACAGATGAAAGGACAGTACGACAAAGATATCGCTTTCCTCAGTGGACATTCAAGCTAATATTTTATTGTGAATATGAGACTGAGCTGAAGAATGAATGCTGTATCAGATGCAGGTAAACACACTCACTCAGTCCATTTCTCTCTCATAATAATCGACTCCACATAATACACTTCTTTTAATACAGTAATACAATGTGCTTTCTTCGTCACTAGTTATAAAGTGACGTTTTCGAATTAGTTACTGAGGCTTGAGCTCAGCTGTTAAACTGCAAATTGAGATTTGAATCCATGGCGGAAGGAAGTAGTTCCACACAAAAGAGGGTTTTTAAAGATTCCGTTGTTTTTCTTATGTATTTACACACTCGTGCTGTCAAACTCTTCGAACGAATTTCCCCTTATTTACCAACAATGACAATAATAACTTAAAAGTTAGTTTAAACTGACTTAATAAATATAAATATAAACTACTTACTGGTAGAGCTGGATAAACTCAGGATGTGGATTAACTGGATCTAGTGGTCCATAAATCATGTGCACTATAAAGTAAAAAAAAACAAGTGATAAATCAGTGATATTTGCAAAGAACAAATGGTCAGGATGGTTACACAGCCTGACGTGATTTATCAACTAATCACCTTCCAAAGCAAAAAAAACTATTCACAAAAAAACAATACAACCCTCCTATCCTATAATGAATGTTAACATGTTTTTCCTGCTGCACTGCTTGTATAATATAGTATGCTGTGCAATACTTTACTGCATTCAACTATGTAAATGTTCACTTAATATATACTGACACCTCAAACACTTATTGCCTGGGGTGAAGACAACCTAAGCAGCTTCCATAGTCATTTTTATTGGATTAAACTACTTAGCCTCAATAGCACTGCCCATGGCCGAGATTTTAAGCAAACCACCGCAGTGAGTCATATTCACACACCTCATTCTGGTAGCCTGACGGTTACTCCAGCACTTTGTACCACAGTATGAATGGTGTGTATACTCACATGGTGTTGAAGTGGAGGTTAGAGTCCCGACCCATCTCTCTCTGTGTTTCAGCCTCTGGTTAATGTACTGCAGGATACTGGGCAAGACACAACAAACGATATTTGGTGACCGTTATTATTAAAGGCAAAGCATTGCAGGTGCAACACATGGAGAAGTTTGGACACCTGTCCATGACCAGATTTCCATCATTAAAGCGAATGCCTGTCCACATGTCCCAGAACTCGGCTTCTGTTGGCTGGGTGTATGGTCCAAACACATCCCTTATTCTGTAGGGTGAATATATAACATTTGCAATTGAAGGCTTTAGGTCACAGCTAACATGATTTAAGTAAATGATTTAAGACTGTGTAAAGTACAACAAATAGTTTGAACTGTGTACTAGAGAGCATAAAACTAAACACTACTCCCATTCCGGATGCTCCACTCACCCTCTAGAGAAAAGCTGGAAGTTTATTAGGCGGGTAAATACAGGTGAAATGAAACCAGAGTCCTTCAGCACCTATAGATGGCAAATGATTGTAAATATTTACTTCTCATATTTGAAAATGAAAACAAATGTGTCTTTATAAAGTTCACACTCACTTTCTGAAGGAATCTTGGATAATGAGTCTCAGGGAATATTCCTTTAAAGATTGAAAACAAAATGAACAAAGTTATGAATCTCCATTCAGATTTAAAGAATATATATTCTAATTTTCTGACCGCATAAAGCTCTAATGTACCTCCATTTGAGAGGCAGAGGCTGTTTATCGTGATGTGTCCGCTTCTGTTATGGTCACTCCTGTGTGTTTAACTGCATGTGAGAGCCACCCAGATCATATCGACAGGCACATTAAGCTAAATTATGCCAAGAGACTTTTAAGGATCATTAGGGCTCACCTGTACAGTAACTCGAGAGCTACAGTGTCTCCGTAGTCATGTGACAGGATGTTGATCCTCTGCTCTGACAGACCCAAATGAGCAACCAGGGCCTCCACCACACTGGCCTGCTCGAAGATGGAGTAACGGTGCGGTCGCTGGAGTTTGTACGACAGAAGTAATGATTAAAATTATGGATAATAAAATCGATTCTTTAAAAACTGTAGTTGTAATGACTCGTAGGGGTGTAACGGTACACGTATTCGTACCGAACCGTTTCGGTACGGGTCTTTCGGTTCGGTACGCATGTGAACCGAACGAACACAGTTTTGTTTTTTTTCTCCGGAAATTCAAATAATAAATGGCGTTTTGACAGTCTTTGATGTGGCATGACAGATCGCTGTATAAACACCTTGGATGACTGCATGAGTTTCATCTCACCGGTTTGTGTGAAAAACCAAAGCCCAGGAAGTCGAGAGCAATGACTCTGTTAAAGCGTTGAGTCAGAGAATCCCAGATCTACAAAACAACAGAATGAGATTCAAGAAACATAAGTAAAAGTGCAGTGTCCAGTCACTGTAAATAAATTGCCCTTAGCATTAAACTATTGCTGCTTTATTGAAATGTTAATGAAGTTTTATGCCACAAAATTACTTTAAATGGCGCTCTGCTCAATTACCTTATACCAGTCATAGCTAGAAGTAGGAAAACCATGAAGCAGCAAGAGGACATCAGAGCTTCCCACGACACCAAATGACTCTATTGAAAAACGTGAATACAGTACATTATTATGTGTATGTCTTGTGTATGTGTATATATATATATATATATATATATATATATATATATATATATATATATACACACACACACACACACACATATACATACATATGGAACGAAAATGAGAAAGAATCAGTTTGTAATCAAATCCTGTGATGTACCTTTATAGAAGATGTTATTGCCTCTGAATGTGAAGAAGTGACCGGAAGTGCGCCAGCTGTTGACCGCAGGTGAGAGCTGTGGCGGAGGGATGTGAAGATACACCGCGAGCAGAGGAACACACAACAGAGCCACGTAAAGCCACCACTCCCTGCTCGCGCGACGGGCCGATCCGCACTCACTGTCATTCTTCTGCAGACAGGGTAGGTTTGTATTCTATTGTGCTTTGTTGTGTGTTATGTATTGTAGTTGTTATTGTATTAACATAGTATGTTATGGTATTTTATTGCTACAGATACGAGCGTTTGTCAAATGAAGTAACGTTACGGCATCATAACACGAAATTAAACTGTCAGGGCAGCCTTGCTATGACAAAAAAATTATAGTTAAATTGAAACTGTAGGCAAAATTACAACTGCCATATAATGCGTGCTAGTCATCTGACAAGAGAAACGCGCTTAACGCGTAAAGTTACTTACAGGTGAGTCGTGTGTCATTCTCGATTCCTGCGCTTTATCACAGTGTGTGTCGGTTGTTTTTGCTGTTGGGCTGAAATATGTGCTGTTGAGCGACATTAAGAGTCTGTCACTGAGCTGTCATCTGCAGTATCATTGCGTTCTCTTAAAACGTTCTGTTGCGACTGTTATCAAGCGTCGTGTTGCCAAGGATCCAAAGGTCTCGGGCTCAAGGTAAAGCTCGCTTACGCCTCTAGTGGAGCGGATGGTAAACGGCAATGATATCTAGCAGAGGAGCCGTGTTTGTTTCAATAGTCACTGTATCCAAAACGTCTAGCTTGCTTAAACATTCGTATATTCGAGCGAAAGTCCATATTTAACTATTTAAATGTAGGGCAAGTGAAAAACAGGTGATCACCGGTTCCATTTTTAGTCAATAATTCATCACAGTAATAATACATGAGACGCCAAACTCGATGTGGATAGTTGCATGTGTGAGAGGACTTTTAACGATTTTAACGTTATAACTTTTTATATGAAATTATTATTATTAATAATAATATTTTAGCTGGTTCTCGACCAGCAGATCAACATGGAATCTAACAGGTATTTGACATCATAGTGTGTTGAACTGATAGACACATGGCATAAACACAAATAATACGGGACAAAGGCTCTTCCAAAACTCTGGGTGGTTTGTTTATGAGTGAGTTAGATGTCTATGTATTTAAAATGATTTTTAAAACATTATTCACAGTTGTTTTCATCTTGTTGAGTTGGTGTTTGCAGATCCAGTCACCACTTAAAGCAGGGGTGTCAAACTCAGTTCCTAGGGGGCCGGAGCCCTGCAGAGTTTTGCTCCAACCCTGCTCCAACACATATCACATAGTTTTCGAATAAGCCTAAAGGACTTGATTAGTTGAATCAGGTGTGTTTAATTAGGGTTGAATCTAAACTCTGCAGGGCTCCGGCCCTCCAGGAATTGAGTTTGACACCCCTGATTTAAAGTAAAACTTGGTTGGATGTTTGTAACTCAAGATTAAGATTATTAAAGGGACAGTTCACCCAAAAATTAAAATCCTGTCAGCATTTACTCACCCTCAAATTGTTTCAACCAAGTTGATGGCGCCCATTGACTTCCATTGTATTTTTTTTTCCCCATATATGGAAGTCAATGGTGACCATCAACTGTTTGGTTACACATATTCTTCAAAATATCTTCTTTTGTGTTCAACAGAAAAAAGAAACTCATACAGGTTTGCTATAACCTGAGGGTGAGTAAATTATGGCAGAATTTAGATTTTTGGGTGAACTGTCCCTTTAAAGCCTGAACCAAAATGAAATTTTGAATGGTGCGTAATGGTAGCTTTTTGCTGGTCAACAAAACAGGCACAGGCACATCTGGCAGCTCCCCCTTGTGGACATTATATCTACAGTATATATATACACTGTATATCTCATGATATATGATATATGATATGATATGATAGGTGAATAATTTTGATGAAAACCCCACTTTAATTCAATATTATCAAGAAATCAAGTGATACATTGTAATGTTATATTACACTTTTTTGGATCATGTTTAACATTGCCATATATCACTCATCACTCATGTTTTTCTCATTTTCCAAGTATATATTTAATAGTAAACCCATACATTGTGATGCTTGAGATTTAAATTTACGAGCTTCAGTCATGTTAAGTTCACTTTGTTATCTAAAGGACATGGGAACATCATAAGTAGGCTATTCATGAATGCCCCACCCAGTGCAACCAAATATTTCAGAAACTGACACCATATAAATGTTTATTCATATACTAGTTTAGGCTAAACACATGACTATTTTGATACAGGCTTTGATCATCATTATTACTAATCTGTTCTGTGTTCCTAATAGACTGTAGTCAGGCAGACACCATATGGCAGGCAGAATTTAATATTAAAGTCTTTCAAAACTTTTTTATGGAGTTTTTGTGTACTAACCGTGTTTTTGGGAAGATGTTGCATCAGCTGAACAATTGGCATCTTGTTAAACTGCAGTACAATCCATTGAATACACTATACTTGTGTATACTTGTGTACTGTGTCATTCCTGTCAAAAATTACAGGCGCATCTCAATAAATTAGAATGTCATGGAAAAGTTCATTTATTTCAGTAATTCAACTCAAATTGTGAAACTCGTGTATTAAATAAATTAAATGCACACAGACTGAAGTAGTTTAAGTCTTTGGTTCTTTTAATTGTGATGATTTTGGCTCACATTTAACAAAAACCCACCAATTCACTATCTCAACAAATTAGAATACTTCATAAGACCAATAAAAAAAACATTTTTAGTGAATTGTTGGCCTTCTGGAAAGTATGTTCATTTACTGTACATGTACTCAATACTTGGTAGGGGCTCCTTTTGCTTTAATTACTGCCTCAATTCGGCGTGGCATGGAGGTGATCAGTTTGTGGCACTGCTGAGGTGGTATGGAAGCCCAGGTTTCTTTGACAGTGGCCTTCAGCTCACTTCAGTCACCATCCAGGATAATTACCCGATCACAGTCACCTGAGTTCTGATCACCCGCACCTGCTGTCACCAATCAAGCCACACTACAAATACACACACAGCACAGTCACTCACTGTCCGGTCTACCGT